TTATAATGCAGAGTCGAGCATAGATCCGATTTATGGTTTTTGTAGAAATTAGCCTCAGAAAACTGACCCCTGTTTTGTTGAACTTGAAAATCATGATCACAATTGGTAACTGAAAGTTTATATTTGTCTTGTTTTATTGTCTAAAATGGTAGATAGGATTTGGAAATTGGAGTCAACATGATGAAATGTAAAGTTTTAATAAGATGTCATAATTTTTAAAAAAGATACCTTTTTAAACTACATATATGAAATTCAAAACAATTTTGATCATTGAAAATGTCGCGCCTGCTGGAGGCAGTAATTTAATAATTAAAAATATATTTGAAAAGTTTTTTTATGAAGAGAAATTGTATTTTAGTTCTCTCATTTAGTTATGTAATGATCTAAAATGCAATATAATCCTATAATCAAACCTTAAAATGTGTTGGTCTTCAGTAACAGCTGTTTCTTTGAGAATCTAAATAATTCCAACCATGGTTTGATATAAGACTTGTGGATGTATTTTTTTGTATTATTCACCGAATTAAAAGCTGACTTTTTGTATGAATCGTGTTAATTGCATCTTTTGTATCAAACAAAAGATCTGGAATAAAAGAAAAGTTACAAAGCATGCAAGTCCAACATGCCCAAGATCTAGTGGCCTCAGTTGTATGTATGGTGAACTCTTTTCAGTTGATCAAACACTTATAAATACTGTGTACTTGATATAAGCAGACTACCATCAATTAAGCTACTCAATCATAAATGTGATAAATGAATGCTTTGTGAAATGAAGAGCTTTGTTTCACACTAATGGCACTTAAGAGAGGTACCCAAGGATGAGAATTTCCACTATTACTTGCTCTGAAATCATGGCATCAATATTTTAATGCAGACGAATGTTATCTGAAGTAATAAACACTAGTTTTAGTACAAAAAAATTGTTTCATGGTGTAAAACAGGTAGGCTGCTTCTCTGCCTTGTAGACATTGAAGTCTGCAATAAAATAATAAGCAGGGAACCAGACTTTTCAAAAACAAAATTCTGTGATGTGACACATTAAAGTTTTCAGATACATGTGAAGGCTGTGGAAATTAGTCAGAATAATGTTAACAATCTTCTAGATGTTGGGCATCTTGAACATAATTGATTCAAAATACAAAAACTTTTTTTAAAAAAAAAGCACTTTATTGACAATTATTTGCAACATAATTATAGAACAAGTATTCAGCCATTAAACAGCACTGTTTCTTTTCACCTTCCCCTCCCTCCATGATTTTGTCCAGCAGGGATGACATAACTTATTTTTCGGAGGTCCCTCTGTAGCTTGTACCCTTGCTTATAGTGTAGTCTATTATTTAGACCCCGTTGTGCACAAGCTATAAAAGGAGAGGTGTGTATGTGCCAATATGGTCAGGTTTTAAAGGTTGCAGCAACAAGGAGCCGAAAAAATTTCATTTCCTGTTGAATTCTAAGTGAAAAATGTCTTTTCAGTGTCTATTTTCCCCAATTTCATTCATGTTAATACTTTGAGTAATAAGTGTTGGATTCTTTTGAATTTTATTTCATAGTTGTGATGCTCCTGTCATTAATGGAAATAATTAGAGTCCTTGGTGGTTGTTTCTTTTTATTTTGTTTTTGCTCGTAAATATGACAGTTTTGCAATTATTGAACAGAAATGTGAGAATTGTACCGTAATGGAGTCCAAAATGATCCTCCTGAAAATTTGCTGAAGCCTTTGTATATTTTGACATTATTTTAAAACCTACAGAAAGTTTTATTTCTGGTAAAATAATGCAAATCTTGTTGCTTTTGCATTTGATAATTGGGGCATATCAAAATTTGTTGTTCCATAAATAAATTTTTGCTTTCAAGAAACAATTCCCTCCTTTGTAGCTGTCCTAATTCTAATTTGTTGTTTATGTTACAAACACTACTAAAAGGTAGAAGTACTTTGTGCATTGAAGTGTACAGATTAAAAGTTGTAATGCAAAGAAAATTTTTATTTATTGTCCATTCTAACTTTATATTACTTGCAGCCAGCTGTCACCAGCAAATTTGTGTTAAAATAAATGTCTTATTAAAGGAATCTAGAGTGTTTAAAGTGATTTTTCAGAGTACTTTATTGCAGTTTGAAAATTGATTTCTTTCATCACTCATTTCGCAGTTTTCTATCAAATGCATCATTTTATCACAAAAGAATATTAAATAATGCTAATGTAATTATTCTTGTTTTGAATCTGTTAGAGTTGCTTAATATTTTAGATATTTTTAATATGAAAACAAATCTTGTATTGAAAATTATTTTATATTGAAAGGAATTGATTTTTTTAATGTAAAAAATTCAAATGTACAATTGGAAAAAAATTAATGTGTTCAAATAGTACAGTTAAATCATAACATGTACTTGTTCAAAGGGAGGGGGGATAGGCACTAATAGCAGTACACATTTGTATTACTAAGAGGTTACATGTGTGTCATTTTTCTAGCACTTTCTATATAATGGGTCTGTAAATTATGTATAAAAAATCTTGATTATAATTTGAAGCTGGTGCTAAGTACAGATATTTATAAAATCTTAAGAATATGTTCTTTGTATGAAAGAAAGGGCATAAATATGTTTAGAAGGCATAAATTAGGGGATATGAATAAAGACTGGTGCTACTAAATATACATGCACACGTTTTATTATTTGGATCTGAATGCATGTACTGTGCTCCAAGTATTTAATAGGACTGTTTGGGTGGAGTACGTGTGTTCCTGGTCTAGTTACAGAACACGGTCTAACGACCTCGCTAATCCAGTTAGGGTGATTTTCATGTTTGAGGATCAAAGGAAATTGGCGGTTAAATATTAAAGGGTCTTCAATCAAGATCAAAACAACGTGAATATTAATGAGATTTTGGCAACAGGTTGTAAAAGTTTCTAAATCAATCAAAGTTACCACTTTGAAAAGAATCACAACGCTTTGATCTACCGTATTAATATAATATCCTAACTTTGAAATCAAATCAGCCGTCAAAGGCTTGCCATTTAAGAGGGCCGTATGTAAAGCTTTATTGGTTCACTCGGAATAAGAAAGATGTGTACACACTTCGTCAGTATCATGACTTGATGGCTTAGGGTGTATATATATATATATATATATATATATATATATATATATATATATATATATATATATATATATATATATATATATATTAAACGGTACCTAATGATAGTACTAACTGACATTGTTATATTAAGCCGCTATCTCCGCGCGTTTATATCATTATTGGTTTAAGCCAGTATGGCATGATTATGTAGTAAACACTGAGTGCAAGCTGTACACGAGTTGAGCTGCACGAGAAGGCATTATTCCTCTGTAATTAGTAATTCCGAGCTGTGAAATCGGTTGCATGCATCCGACATTCGAGTTGTGGTTGTATATTCAACTTTAATTACACTATGAAACATCAAAAGGAGAACTTTCCATCTTCATCCCTTTCCACATTCAGATAAAAAGAGTGTTTATGGGAAATTGGAAAAGAGATGTCATTTGTGGATCGTGCTAGCATATTAATAATTAAAATTCTTTGAAGTCTATCTTTTGATGTTGACTTTTTTGCAATTAGACTTCTAGCTTCTTAGGATGTATTTCAGATCATGATTTATATTTCATAAAGTTTATTTGATCACAGAATGTTACCAAATCCGGATCCATGATTATTTTCGATAATTACTTTTTTTTTTCAAGTTTTCATTGCTTTGATCTAATGAAGTTAGATTTCTGCTCACATTGTATTGTTTCCTAAACTGGAACTATTTAGACTTGGTCTTTTAAGTTTGGTATCCGTAGTTAAGTTTAAACAATTGCTATGAAATTTCACCTATGGACTATAAACAAGTTTATTTAAGATGTTCTGGTAACATATACATGTTTTCCTTACCATTAAAATGGTTTCTCCATTCAAGACTATACTTGTTTCAGTAGTACCATTTCTTAGCCAGTTTTTCACAATTTTGTCATTGGTACAAATACTTTGCAAGTTGATAACATCAGTCATTAATTAACATATTTTCATACTCATATTTATCTTGATACGTAACTGTTATTTTTCTTTCGATTTGTTTTTAAATAACAGCAATATCAAGAACTACAAGATTTCCTTCAAGTATTAAAATAAAGCATTTCATAGTTGTAATAACTGTGAACAGCATAATATTTCTGCCAAGTTTTTTTTTATCTTTTAAGAAACTTTATTTTTAGATTATAAAGCCTCTGTATGGATTTCATAAAACGGTAAACGTGAACTCCGCAGGGAGCTGACAGTTTTTGGACTGGTATCTTAATTTAACATGCTGATGCTGGTTTTAAACATGACCTCATTTGTTATGTATCCTTGATTTCTGTATATAATTACGTATTGTATTTTGCACTGAACTGGTTCACGTGGACTTGCAAAATCTTGCTGAGCCGTGTGAAAATATGACCTAATGTCATTAATTAATGAATGATGCACGTAGACCAAACAAAATAAACTTTGTAAAATATTTTAAAGTAAATTATACCTCTTTGCTCTTCATTTATACCCATCTTTTATCTAATTGACATGATTTGCTACTTTTCTTAATGTGAATTTTCATTTTTCAGTATCTTTACATACAGTAGGTTGGAAGTTAAGAATTTCTCTATTAGCTGCTGACCCATGGCTATCTTTGGCTACAAAATGTTAGCGAGGTGATGGTCATATGAAAAGGATTGTGCCTGTGTGTGTGTGTGTGTGTGTGTGAGAGAGAGAGAGAGAGAGAGAGAGAGAGAGAGAGAGAGAGAGAGAGAGAGAGAGAGAGAGAGAGATTTGGATTTTTAACGTAGCATTAACAATATTTCAGTCGTATCGCTGCGATGTCTAGCACTGAGGCATTACACCGCAGACACGTAGCACGATATCTCAACCAGTAACATTATCCTGACATCAGGTCAAACAGTCCTAACACTAACCTCTTCGTGCTGAGCGCCTAGCGAGGTACGTCTTTGGTGTGACTGGGCCGGGTTTAAACTCGCGACCTCCAGCATCCGAGCCGGACGCTCTAACCACTAGGCTACCAGAGCGGTATGCAAAGAACATATATCGTTTTTTGGGAATATACACGTTTTGTAGGATATCAGATTCGGATTTGTACGTGCCCATAACAAGATCGTGTGTAGCATTTTGTGATGTTCACCCATCTGTGGTCAGTTTTTTGTTTAAACGCTGTAACCATCGTTATACATTATAAACGTCGTGTGGGTGACGGAACAAATTTGTCATTTTGAGGTACAATGTTTCTGCATGAAAATGTAAGTTATCAGCAATATACATTCACCAAGTTTGTTGATGACTATCACATTGGATAAGAGAAGTATATGTTTTGGGGTAAACAGGTCAATGTTTCATGGAAAAGGAGAATTAAATGTATCTTGATTATTAGTACACGTATCTTTACCAAAGTTTGTGCCTTGCTTGCACTTGAGGCGTGGAAGACGCCTGTTAATTTGGGGGTCAGGGTCACAGTGACTCGAAAAAAATAGTTTTGTAGAACAATTTTTGTTCTAGACCAGGGATCTTTAAACGCGCGTGTCACATGTGGCCCGCCTAACCATATCTTGTGGCCGACAAAAAGATTTTCGTTACAAGTTGCCTTTAGAGATAACGTAGTGCGGCCCTTAGGCCATCAAAAATGCCCTCTTGCGGCTGTCATGGTGGTTTTAGTTTGAGACACGAGTTTTAGACTTAAGTTCGTTGACGCTGATTTGTGGATGGCATGCACTTCGGGGAAATAATAAAACCGACTGATTCCGTGGTTTAATAGTCGTTAAGTAATCGTTAGCAGTTATGCTTAGTCACATGGTTTTTGCAGAGCAAGTTTAGTTGAATTCTAATTACCTTGAAGAATGATCGTTGGTTGACCGTACCCTATATAGTGGACTTTTAAACACAGGGTAGGTGTATAATGTGTTGTTTACGGTACTTCTGTTGTATTGTCCAAGCATCTTCCCATTTACATTTACTTTTTTACCTTTGCAGTACAGTGTTACCTTTAGCTGTGCTCACTGCCTCAGGAATAATAAGTAACAGACAGACAACATGAATCTGCACGTTTCAGCATTGTCCGGATTGTAACTTTCAAACCACTCGAGAAATATTTTAATTAAACTTTACCTATATTAGGACTAGACAATTTGTTGCCTACCACAGCCACACCCACTTGCTTAAGGTTCAGGCCGTGACATGGGGAAATGTATTTTTTTGTTGTTGTTGCTCTATTGGTCATAAATCCGAAGAGTCTGTTGACCAATGTCCGTCCATATGTACACCATTATCTATTGGCAGAAGTTTGTTTCTGCTGCTATTCGTAGACAACAATGTATGTCAGTCCATCAATGGTTTTATTTTTGTTTCTTTCTTTTTTTCTCAATAGAATGTTGTAGGCTTTATACTTGGTTTTAATAGAAAAATTGTGCAGATCAGAGAGAGAGAGAGAGAGAGAGATCTACTTTTAGGTCATGAAATAGGGACATTATCATTTATAGATCTACTGGTTATAAATCAAAAGAGCTAGGGATATTTTAAAATATTTTTTTTTATACATACTAAAGAAAATAAACTCGTGAATTCTGTGCTTTTCATTTTTGCCAGTAGAACATCTACCGTTTTGGGGTACTTGTGTTTGACATGAATTTTGTTCGAGTATTAATTCGAAACAAATTAATATATTTTATTGAAACTTTCTCCAAGTATTTATCGTGTATTATGAGGTGTCGTGTAACATCACAAGGCCACCTTCCCCAAGTCAAGAACATAACAAGAAAATGCGTAGTTCTGAGACGTGTATCCTTGTCCGCATCTTCGTTAACCAAGGTTCTGTTAATCCTGAGATAGGGTTATCGTTACCTTGGCTAGTGAAGATGCATTGTCTGCAGTATCACTTTTGAACCAATGAATATATTTTAATGAGACTGCCCGAGTACGTGTCGTGGCAATATGGTGGATGTGTAACATGGTTATGCTCCCAGTCCTATATAGCAGCAATAGAAAATGTAATTCTTTTACTTGTTAGGAGAATAAAATTATGAAACTGCATTCAGTTATATATCATGTATAGACGGTGTGTTGCATATAATAGTCATGCACAATCCCTCTACGTGTTGTTACCAGCAAGAATAAATGTAAATCGGAATGGTATCCTTGACCAGAGTATAACTTTTGAACCAGCAGATTTTAAACATGTATATATATATATATATATATATATATATATATATATATATATATATATATATATATATATATATAGGGACGTAGATTCTGTCGTATACTATTCAATGTCGTATTTAGAGAACATACAAATCACACAATAATTTTATTTCGCATTAATTTCTGTTCTCGGTCATTTAATAAAAAATAATAATGCCATCGCTGCGATAGAAGGGGGCTTATTTGTTTGCCGTCTGACGTCCTTACGTTCGTTACGTTTTAGCGAGAGCACAGCAATCGTGAAATGTGTTGCACACTACTCTAATAGTGGCAGTATAAATATTTATTTGTTTATACATTTCATTTGTAACTGTTAAAAAAGCTTTGGCGAACTAAATTTACCATTGTGTTGGCTACGGACCAAAATTTCAATTTAAACAATTTCCGACATGTACGGAATAGTCCAACAACTGTAAAGGTGGTGGAAGAAAGTATGGGATCTTTGGCTGATACTTGTCATCAACAGTGATCAATCTTCCCAGAACAGATGACATATGAAGTATAAGCACTATTTGTCTATTCAATGCAAACTAAGAAAATATTGAATTAAATAGTAATGTCAAGGTATTTGTCCAAGTATATGTTTTATTTAATAACTCATACTGTAAATAAAGTCCGAAAACGAAGTCGCTATACTTGAGTAGTCTCCACAAATATACTGAATTAATGAAAGAGGAATCCTTTAATAAGATTATTACATAAATATATAGCATGTGGTATTACCTCCCCCCCCCAAAAAAAACCCCAAAACAAAACAAAAAAACAAACAGGATTATGCACATAAAGAACAGATAAGTTTTCACCGCAGTCACATGTAGAGATCACCTAAGAATACCCGGATTAACAAGCTTCCATTAGTCACTCGAAATCGGTTGCACGTTTGGTTCATTAAAGATTTCTCTTGTGAGCGTAGAGGAGGTACGGGAAAAATTTTGTAATAATTTTCAAATATTCTGCTGTTCGTGGTTTTCTGTAATAAATTTTAGTAAAGTATTTCAGTATCGATATACAGAAAGACACTTGAATCAAGTTCAAATGTGTATACGCGCATGCGTGTGTGTCATGTTTGCTAAGCCCAGCTATAAAGTCATGTGTAAACTATAATCTATCTGTCTTGGGAATATTACCGAGGCTATGAATTTGATATCTAAAAATTTCCGCAGGCTAGTATTAAACTTACGCAAGGTTACATGACCCGCCGGAGATTATAATCTTGACTCGGAAAAGGCGATAGATCGCACCATCTGAACAGAGACTTGTAGTTATCACACCTATGTGGCAAAGCTTAGCCCAAAGATCAAAGGGAAGTCCGAGGGGTGAGCAAGCGTGTTCTCATCCATCCCCACGTTGACAGATGGCGAGAGGGACGTTGACCATTAAGTGTGATTGGATCGGTTCACAGCGATATCCAATTGGAGTTGAGATAGAAGGTGTGATTAGAATTCCGACTTGAATGATACTTCAAACTCGTATGAGAAAATTTATCATTCGTCTGGAAGAATTTTAGATCAATATGGTTACTCCGAGAAAGAAGCCACTCGTAATTTGGTGGAAAAACTTAGAGATAGAATCTAAGGAAAGGCAAAACTTCGAAAGGTTGGTAAGATATTTGCTCGATTTTTGCAGAATATCACGATATCATAATTGTAATTATATGTAGTATGTATACTTAAGTACTAGGATCGTTAGTATGCAGAATTACCTTTATAGTGTTCCATTTACATGAGTTTTTGAGAAATGGACTTGAGCTTGCGTAAATAATTATTATATGCCAGGCGGAACTATGTCGATTCTTAGCTTGTGGTCAGAATTAATTAATAACTATTGCATTTTTTAATGCGTTATGTTAGAGTTTACGCATTCTTGAATTGAGAATTTGGAAACATGGTTGAAGTATGTAAGATTATTTACTATAGACATATGCGAATATCAGAGCATGGATATTTAAATATTTGTGTACTTTGTATGAATAGTAAGGTAAAGAAATGCGTCTGATTGTTGTGATATCGTTTAGTATAACGGGATTAGGAACATGTACTGAAGTGACGGAATTCATTGATCTCTGTGTAAAAAGTAATTGATACCCTGCTTTGCATTATGAAATTTGTTTTTCCGTGCAAGAACGCATCGGTATCTCAATGTGAACGAATGCGTGACCAAAGAAATTTAATAGCCCTTATGTGATAATAGGATGTGTGTAGTGTGAGATGTGAGGGACAAGGAAGAAGATTGTGTCGGCCTTGTGTTTTCACAGAAAGCTTTTTAGGGGACACAGAACTTCTGGTTCCATTGGGTCCAGAGTCTTCAAGAATAGGAGACGGAATTTGAGACAAGTCGAAGTCGAGAGAAGAGTAGTCTTGGTAGGGAAAGTGGAGGAGGAGAAGGAGTCTAGAGAAAATCGAGGAAGAGAGGAAATCTAGAGAAAGTCGAGGAAGAAAAGAAGGTATTTGGAGCAAAGTCGAGGAGGAAGGGAAGAAGGAAGTGGGAGAAATAAGGGAGAGAAAGGATACACCAGATGAGAAAAATACGACAGGTTGAAATCAATCTCACACTGGTAATTAAGTGATGCAATATGCTTATTAAAGGGTCGAGCTGAAGGAGTATAATTGGGAATTTGAGTCATTTGATTATTTAATTCTTATTAAATTGTTATGCATTGAAATTCAAGGTTTATTTGTATATTTAGCCATCTAACAGTCGGCATTGCTAACTTGGGGACTCGGAACTTTACATCTATCTTTCACTAAATTTAGCTTCCAACAAAATATAACCTGGGTGGGACTTCTGTAATAGTTTAAATTAGACATTGGGAGCACCCCACCTAACCACAACAATCTTCACAGTGTGTGTATATGTGTGATATTTGGATATTTAACGCAGTTTTTTAAAAAAAATCTGTCATATCGCTACCATGTATGCAGTGTGGCAGTTTGTAGTGATTTCTAGCACTGGGGCATCATGCCGCAGACATGTGGCATGATGTCCCCACCCAGTCACATTATCCTGATACCCGGCCGACCAGTCCTAAAACTAACCTCTTAATGCTCAGAGCCTAGCGAGGATATGTTAGTATCATTTTTATGTCATTGGTATGACTCGGCTGGGGTTCGAAGTTTAAAGTGACGAACTTGCCAACCCCGTGTTCTTTGGGCCTGATCCTTTAATTTTCATGAGGAGGGGAGGGGGCTGTGATATTATTTTATCTTTTTGTTGACGATTCTAGCACTTCCCGCCCCTTATTCCCCCAAATTGCTGCACCCAAATCCCGAAAATTGATTTGTGCATCGTACTTCAAGCGCTTAGAATATATAACAAATTAAACAAGAAAATTAAACTTACTTCTTAAATAATAATAATAATAATAATAATAATAATAATAATAATAATAATAATAATAATAATAATGATCTTAAAAGCATTGCAATAGGAAACATTCTTTTGGCCACTAGATAATTGATAGAACAAGATTTTTTTCTTGTACAAATCGGAACAAGAATTCTTTTTCAAGCTTTATGGTGTGGGAGATTTTTTCAAAGACCTCAACTTTCCCATCCTCTTTATTTCCCTACCCCACCCCACCTCGGAAAATTAATGGTATTTTCGTAGAATAAAGTTTGAAGCAATGATATATGATGCGATGTATATTTGAAGCAGTGGCATACCTTAAAAATTCTATCCAAATCTGTAATCTATCTGAATGTATATCAAAGTGATCTACCTGCAGAGAGACGGTATTGTTCACTTTTTTACGTACTACGAATGATGTACGTAGGGGGATATCGGCGATTTGGAAGTAGATATGTGGAAATATTTCATGAGTCAAGTGGAAGACAAAACAAAATGTTTCCATTTCACGAGTGAAATATTTGTTACGTCTTCCAAAAATACGTAGATTTTCTTTCATCGTATATTTTAAAGTGTAAAACTAATTTGCATGGGTTTTTTTTCCCTCCACCCTGCACAAATGCTATGTACGGCTGCAATACTGACTCGAAAAAAAAGACATTTAGAAATTTTACAATAAATGTTAGGACTCCGACCTTTTACAAATGTAGCTCATCTTATACACGTGATGCTTTAATTTGTATTTTGTCAATTTAATGACTGTTCATACAAAATCATTTTCTTTAACACATTTTTCGCGTAGATTGATGTAGTAAACATTGTTGGGGTGGAGGTACATCAAAAACATCAAAGCGCCATCGTAATCCGAAGGGCATCAAAATTATCATACATTTTAATGCTTGCGAGTTTATTTGTACGGTTTTTCATTTTTTAGAGTGTTTATTTCTTTATTCAGACGTGAACTGTGTTGCTTCGACACGCTTGGTATCAGAAGTTTTGTGGTCTACCGCCGACATAAATATAACAGAGCGGCAACAGCCGACACATTTTATAGAACAATTCATCCTGGGGGGGGGGGGAACACATCGGGGCAGACATATCCTAGGTGCAAAGAAAAAAGTTCTAAACGTGATGTCGCCTCTGTGGCGAGAAAAATGGTGTCGCGAATGTGGCCATAACACTGTACTCCCATTGATACATTTCAATACATCTTTATGAAACGTGTAGTAACTTCGAACGTATCTTTTTGCAATAACTTGCATTTATATAAATTCATAGGTAAACAGTTTTTATAAGGTTTATATATTTGTTACAGTTTGAGTTTAAAAAGAAGATATAGCACAGCTTTGGTAATAAGATATTACTTATAAATTAAACCACCCACCCTTGAAAGCCACACTAGTTTGGGTAAGCCATGCATATGGTGTTGTATTTGCTTTTGGCTTTACATTACAGTGAATGAACGAAATCATTGATCATTACTTTTTGTGAATTGGCAATAACCGAATGAAGAAGAAAAAAGCAAAATGGTATTTATGCAGTGTCTGATTTAGGACAAAAGGCCCTGTACTAGTTATGTTGTGAGGCCCCTTACTTGAACCATGAAGGACGTATGCCCGGTAGGCCTACACAGGTAGTCAGGCATATATACTCATGAAATTTAGGAGTAGTTAGAATAGCCACAGACTTTTGAAAAATTCATCGTAATTTTATTTTTGACCAAGAAATTGCTCACTCTTGCCAACAGGCCCTGTGCTTAAGCACACCTAAGTACAATGGTAAACCCCGCCCTGTATTTATGCAATGAGATTGGTGTGTCTGCTTAAAGAAACATATGTTTTGAAAGATTATTGAATGCAGTGTCTTCGTAAAGAATTCTAAAAAAATATAAAATTTCTGACTTGCTTCCACGTATCTATTAAAATCACATTATCAGAAATAGGTTCTCCTCTGTAGCATCTTGTTTTAAAATAGAGCAGTCAAGATAGTTATTATTAGCTCAGATCTATTATGCTACCATGAACTTCGGCGTCCATATATATAGTAAAACGTCAGTATCCAAACCCACATGGATGACATTGATTTCATCCAGACTGTTGGGTGTTCCAGATCATCGGATTTTGGTATAACAGTCAAATCAAATGGGAATGGAAGACGCAGGATTAAATGGGGCCTAGTATTGATAGTTTTAGAGGGTCTCAGGTGGCCAAGTGGTTTAAGGTGCTCGCCATTAACGATCACTGTCATCTCATCTATGTCCACGTGGGTTTGAGTCTCGGACTCGACCAACGTATTCTAAGGTGCTCGCCATTAACGATCACTGGCATCTCATCCATGTCCACGTGGGTTTGAGTCTCGGAATCGACCAACGTAGTCTAAGGTGCTCGCCATTAACTATAACTGGCATCTCATCCATGTCCACGTGGGTTTGAGTCTCGGACTCGACCAACGCGTATGTGTGAGAATGGTTGTGGGCTTGTGGTTCATCCGTGGGGTTTCCTGGGTTCTTCTTCAGCCATATAGGCTGGTTGCCATGTATAACCTTTTATGTGCTGATCTGAGAGATGGCGCCTGATCCACAACATATATATACATTTGATTAATGCGAATATGGTTAAGATACTTTAATTTAATTCCAAATTAATTATAAGATTTGAAAATCTACTATAACTATTCATGATTACATAATATCATAAGTATGACGGACCATCATTGAAAGCGAACACGAGTATCAAAGAAGCTTTGTGAAAGTAAACTTGGTTGACAGATTCTATTTCCGCCTGCGTCGGTCGATAATTAACTTTTATCACCAGTTAAGTCTCCATTGATCATTGACTGACAGTTAATTACGTAGGCTTGGGCTACAGAATGCCTTTGATCAGTCGTTTATGAGTATTAGTCATATTTGATTAGCTTGGAATGTCGGTAGGACAAATTATATGCTTTCTTAGCGGCACTCACTTATTGACAGTTGGGTGTAATATACAATAATTTTATGTACCTCTTTCCCTTCCTCTCTTTTGATTATTACTACTTTCACTTTAAAATATATATTTTTTTCGTATTCGTAATACCAGAGTAATTATAATTACATTTGATATATGTCACTCTTATTTGCTAGCGTCGTGATCGACAGATTGGTTTCATTCCGAGATAGGTATGTATCCTAACAGTTCGAAGTGTATTTCATAGCACCTAGGTAATGGGAATAGGGCTGAGGGGATTTGCATTTACCTACTGGGAAAGGGATTGGGGGGATTATCGCCTACCTATGGAGAATGGGGCTAAGGGGATTAACACCTACCTACGGGGAATGGGGCTAAGGGGATTAGCACCTACCTACTTTGAAGGGGGTAAGGGGGCTTAGCACCTAATTACTGGGAACGAGGGCTGATACACAGATAGAAAGTCACCTGACTAAAGGTGATAAACACACATGGGACTGAAAATCACAAAACAGATAAGTCACATTTTGAATTATATTAGTATTAAAGGACGCAATGGGGATAGTCACCTTCTTTATTGATTACTATTAATGATTAAAATAAATTGACTGCTTCACAGGAAAGGAAAATTGTTTAGCAAGTGAAGTGTCTTAAAGAAAAACTGTTGTTATTGGATTCAACGCCATTTTTCAGCACAAGATAGGATATACATAGCGGACAGTATTAATGGTGAAAGAAGAACCCAAGTCAACCCCGGAAAAAACCCACCGAACCACAGGAAGCTATTGGCAAGCTTTCTCACATACCCTCACTGGCCAAATCCGAGACTCGAACTCAGGCAGACCGAGGTGAGAAGGCAGTGATCCGTAACGGAAAGCGCTTTAGACCACTCAGCTTCTCGGGGCCCCAAAGGAAAACTGTAGAACAAATATGTAACACTGAGATCAATGTGGATATTTTTAAGGCTTCTATTTCATTGAAAAAGGTAGTTGTTTTTTTTTTATAAAGCTATACAGGTAAAATTTCGGTTTTAATTCAACCAGAATGTACACAAAACGAAATTCTTTCAAGACTATTAACCATTTAAATTAAATCACGCATTACCAGCGACATTTACAACAGTGTAATTATCTATTTAGTACTGTGTGTGCTCTTATTTTGTTACTGTTGTAAAATATCTTAAAAATATTATAAAATCAATGGCTGGTATTTATCTATACTATTGTCTCATGTAAGAAAATACAATATGTGATATATTCGAGCCTACATCATAACAAAATAACAAAATTAAAAGGTGTGACGTTTTGTCCAACACGTCTCTCCTAATTGTAAAACATTTTGACATGTGACCATCTGTCTGTGACTATTTGTTGTTGTTGTTGTTCTGGGGCTTAACACCATTTTTCAGTACACGACAGGTTATACATCGCTGCCAGTATTAATTTTGGAAGAAGAAACTGGAAAATCCGCAGAAAGAACCACCGACCAACGAAAAGATACTGAAAAGCTTTCTTACATATCCACATTCGCCGAATCTTAGACTCGATCCCAGGCAAATAGAGGTGAGATAAACAAAAATACCTTTGTTATGTATGTATGTATGTATGTATGTATGTATGTATGTATGTATGTATGTATGTATGTATGTATGTATGTATGTATGTATGTATGTATGTATGTATGTATGTATGTATGTATGTATGTATGTATGTATGTGACGTCTTGATTAATATTTTGCGTTGAACTCATGTTTTTTTTAAAAAATATTTTTTTAATACGCTGTATAAAAGTCAGTTCGAATCAGTAGTTCAGTGCTGTCCAACATGCGGCCCGCGGGATGATTTTAAATGGCCCGCCAGAGCTCGTGCAATTTTTTGATGCATTTATGTAAAACAAAAAGCCAATGGCCTACATTCATTTCATGCATGCGGCCCTCTTCTTCACGAACCATGTTTCAGTGACCCATGGTCTCAAAGAGGTTGGACACCACTGCATGTGTTAGCTCACTGAGTACATATTATAAACAACGTTGGACAGACACTCAGAAAAGAAAATCAACCCAAGCTGGAAAGGAGAGGATAGATAAATATAAAAAAAACCCATTATAACAAATTATTGTAATGCAAAAGAATATTCTATCTCCTTTTTGTTTTTGCTTTAACTTTTCATAACCATGGCTGAGTGGCCTAATGGGCTCATCTTTACTGATACTCCACACATCTCACCTCGGTTTGCATAAGTTCGAGTCTCGGCTCGACCAAGGTGGATATGTGAGGAAGCTTGCCAGTAGCTTCCCTTGAGTTGGTTGTTCGTCTCTGCTCTTCCTTCACCAGCTACACTGGCCGCCCTGTATAGCCTATTGTGTGCTGAAAAATAGCGTTAGACCCCACAAAATCAAACCTTATGAACAAATTTTGCTAATGAACACAGTTGACTTATTACTAGAAGTTATCAACTGAATGCATTAGAAGGTTGTTCCAGAGCTGCTATTTAATCAAGCTTGCACATAAGTGTGTATATATTGGACACAATATAAACAATTTATATTCATCTTCGATGTCATAGTTGTAACACAGCATCTTTGCCTTCTTCCAGGTCTAATATTTTCTTATCTTCCTGTTCCATTCTCATATCATGAGTAGATACTCGGAACTTTGTCGACGCTGATAGATGTTTATGGCTACTCAAGAATCCGAAATAATTTTCGAGGTCGAAGTCAGTTTTGGTTTATCCTCGTAGCCACACAAATTGTTTTGCTTCCTGTAAAAGTGTTGTTTTACCTACAATGACCAGTACACGTACTATACCCTCATCACAATAGTAAGCAATTATTTCTTATAGATCACGTTGAATACTTGGATTAAATGTGTTTTAGGTTCATTATAAAGCTGTTTGGCTTGAGAAATCAAAACTATGTAATATTATGTATCTCTACTAGTACCATACACTTCTCAGTGCCAGATCATGTCATTTGCTCGGGGGTGGGGGTAACGTGAAATAAGCAAAGTGTGCATAATACCCCATAAACGTGCGCAATTAATAACACGACGGTAATGGTTTTAATGATAAGTGACTGTGTGTGTGTGTGTGTGTGTGTGTGTGTGTGTGCTTTATTTTTGCCAGGATGTCCTTCACAAAAGCAGACCCTGCTGCCAACAAGAGAAGATCACATTTTAATCACGTTGGTTGTTTGTGCGTTTAGCCCCTAAATACAATTTCTTGCATCCTGTAAACATACTTCTATAGATAGAACCATGAACCTTGGTGGGGTGATGCATCACAATTCTCGTCACAAAATTAGGTAACTGTAACCCATATTTCATGCTTCACCAACTTTGGTTAAATTTAATGTTTTGAACTGTTCATGCTTTAATTATTAAACTAGATCATTGTATACAATTCTTTCAGCACTGTACCTATAAAAAAATGTCAGTGTGACCTATATTTAACATTTGACTGGTTTATGAAAAGTGCAACTAACACTAGACAACGCAGATATATATTTGCAATGTTGTAATCATACCATCCTATTATAATATTTGGTGAGGGGATATATATATATATATATATATATATATATATATATATATATATATATATATATATATATATATATATATATATATATATATATATATATATATTAACAAAATTAAGGAGATGTGCATTTAGTTTAAGCAATATGTAGGTTTGTGTGATTACATGTTTGATTATTGGAATTCGGTGCAATGGGAAATATTCCTAAGCACGAAATAATTAGTCAATTATTAGGAGCAAACGTCACGGAGAGAAAGTGTTAGTGAGTTTCTAAGATGCCATGGTCAATGAGTAGCCAATTCAGACCCAATCCGCATGACTGTCTCTGTCGAGATGTAGCACTTTATAAAACAGTGGGTTACATCGGCGTTGTGACTGCATGTCATTATTTAAGGTAGGAAACCAGTAAATTACATAATGGAATAAATGAGAAAGGACTCGGTAGATACCGTGTATGTCGCCATAGTGGCAAATGTGATGTAGGTTTACTGGTGTGATGAGCCTTGAAACGGTAGATCGACTGGCATCAGGTGGGTAGTTAAAATAATTCCCCGTGTTAGGGATTGTGGTAGAGTTTCTACGGTGTGAACTACTGGCAGTACGGAAAGTTAATGTAGAGAATCTATGCGGATGTGAGGTTGATGGTTATTTGGAAAGTTGTAAATAATGTGGTCTTACATTGATTAGAGGAAAATTTATGTATCGAATAGAGACATCGGGCTTTCCAACTTACAACTGAAGTTGTATAGAAGTCTTTGGAAATATGGGGTAAACTTATGACTTCTAGCGAAGGTTTTGACACCGCTCGGTCAAGCAAAAGACCCATGGCTTGTAAAAAGAAAATTTCTGGTGGCAGCGATGCGATAGCTGAATAGTTGCGTCATATTATGTAAATAATTCAGTTCTATCACGCTTAAGACAGACTAGTCTTTCGCAATTAGAAAAAAATGATTTGTCCTAAAAAAAAAATATTAAAAAATTTATTGATAAATAAATTAATATAAATAATGTTAGAGCACCTTTAAAATGTCTTATTTTGGTTTCGCAACTTTAAGTCTGCGAGAGTGGATGTGTTTAATTGTCCTTGCGATATATGTTTCAGGTTAGTGCATATGTTCAGTTAAGAAGGAATACTTTATCCCGGATTTGTTATAACAATATGAGAGTCAAAAAAGTATAGAAGCCGATCAGAGGCGAAAAGTGAGTCAGTAAAATAGGGAGGACATTGTTCTACACGTGGTCTAAGATCAAAAGGCAAAAGTATAGATTTCGTAACGAAAAAAAAAACTGAATGAGAATGAACTGAAAATATCAATTATTGGCCATGAAATATTTTGCAAGCCAGATTTATGATTTTGGTTATTGAATTGTTAATGAATTAAAGGAAGAACCAGTAATAAAGAACGTGTTTGACAATGCTCGCCCTTCCTTAGTATAACACAAAGAAAAAAATTGAGTGTGAATGAACTTAAAATATCAATTATTGGCCATGAAATATTTTGCAAGCCAGATTTATGATTTTGGTTATTGAATTGTTAATGAATTAAAGGAAGAACCAGTAGAAAAGAACGTGTTTGACAATGCTCCCCTTCCTTAGAATAACACACATATTTGACTAAGATAATCATTTATTTCACTTTTTTTTATTTTAATAAATTTCCATAAATTAGGGGTTGTAAAAAAAACCCTGAAAACTTCTTACATCGGTCTACGTAATTTTGAATTGCGACCATTGGTTAACAAGCATTATTTAACAACAACAACAATAACAACAACAAATTTACATCTGTTTGCGCCCTATCTGAATAGCAATTACTAGCAGTTTCTTACCAAGTACAGGCAAACAAGGAATACTAAAGGGGAATTTGTATAATGAATTATAATGGCGACATGGAGCGGTAAAAATACTTCTTTAATTGATACGCCTTGAACACAGTCTGTTCGTTGGCAACTCTTGTCCTTCATTGTCGCTTATTGATGTGAGGCAGAGAAAACACGTGAATGTTGACCGTAATGTCCAGTTCCTTGTCAGCTCGACTCCGCGAGGCCGATAAAGATGATGCACGTGTATTGGGTGCCAGGTCTGAGGAATCTGAGGTTCGAAACTATAAAGGCGGGTGGACCTGAAAACGTGAAGGCGGATAGTTATAATAGAAACACGTATGCAGTATCCAAGTGTACGATTGGTTCGCCTGTTGATAGTCTGCTTGAGACAATAGATACCCAGATTACGGAGAAATTTGAAAAATTGGGGGCAACCATGGACCATTTGTTAAGAGAAAATTCGGTAGACAGCCGCAGTGAGATAAAGGATGGAAGAGAGATGCCAGGCTCTCAGGTGACCAAAGGAGTCGAAACTGGAAAAACAG